AAAAGTTTCGTTGAGTCAGCATGAGATTTGATCGAGATATAAGGATTTTAATTTTTGCTAGTAACAGGCGAAAAACCGGTTTTTCACAAAAGTGCCTCTGGTGAAGTTATTTTCATTTCCACACAAAAACAAATGTTGCCACTATGCTCAGCGTAGTCGATTACCTATATTCCGTGGCATTTCGAGATTCCCAGAGATGTCTGCACGGAGATAGATACGTGCTCGGGGAAAGCGTGTCCTGTCCGAACGACGATAGCTGGAGAGCCGGGACTTGCATAATTTTGTAGAGTAACGTCCGGACTATGTATGCATGCAAAAGAATTACTAATATTGTATGCTAGTTGTCTGAGAACGGAGCTAGTTTTCCAAAGATCCTCTGGAAACCCGAGCTTTGAAATTTTTTCGAAAGTTGTTTTCGCTTGTGAAAAGTTCTGCTCAAGTCTTGGCTATCGAACAGCGAAAATCGCAGGTCTCTGTCTGTCTCATGTGAGAAGTTATTCAGAAAGTAACCAGAGTCGCCGTATTTTGGCGACGATAGTAGATGGCAAAACCTCTGCTGAGCTGCTATTTGTTGCGGTGTCCCGCAGGGTCCTGTTTAGGACCATTATTGTTTTCGATCTACATAAATGACTTACCTGATAGATTAGGCGGCTTATGTATGTTGTATGCCGACGCCGCTTCTCTTTATCGTGAAATTATTGATCTACAAAGTGACTTCACTGCTATGAATGAGGATTTGAAAAAACGTTGATGAATGGTCCGAACAGTGGAAACTTGATCTAAATATAAAAAAATGTGTCTGAATGTTTTCTACACGCAGTGTATCATATCATCTAATAATTTAGCAGTTGTTTTGAGTTTTAATATGACTTTCATCGATGTATTTAGTAGGTTTTTATTCAGAGATTTGTTTAGTCTTTATCCTAGAGAACGTACTTGACGCAAGTATTTGATTACTTGCTCAGTACTTGGAACAATTGGCAAGTGTTTTCACAATTTCTCACTTCCATGTACTTTTAGAAGTACTTCTCAATGTTAAAAATACTTGCTTTTATTGCTAAGAAGTACTTTGTGAAAGTCCTTGGCAAGTAAGAGCTTTTTATCACCCAAAACCGAAAAAAGCGTATTTAAAATTAATTAAAAAGCGATGGATTGAACACGTGAAAGCTTTTTTGTTAAACTCTTTTTCATCACTTTGTTATCTTTTAAAATCATGGGCTGAATATAGTTGAATTGAATTGAATTGATTCCTTTTTCTTCTTGATTCTCTCTTTCCTTCTACAAAACTCTTCTCACTACTATAAAATGAGTTTACCCTCAGATACAGAAAATCAGAACCAATAAATGGTGTCGGAAAAATAGCTATTAAAATGAGAGGACATTTTTCTAGACATAAGATACATTTTTCTTGCACTTTTGGGGTGCCTTTGCCGTTTAAACCAGATCACATTCGGAGAAAATAATCATTTATCGTCAATTTTCAATATTACTATTATCCATTTTCAACAGTTTTCTACGCAGCTCAGTTCTCACCAAATACCAAGGCAATATTCTCGCGGAACTTTTTCTATAATAACATAACTTTAAACAGATTTCTCGTAGAAAACCGAATCAATGTGTTTGTATTCATTCTTAAAGTTATATCTCGGCTTGTCCAAATGTTACGGAATTACTTTTTTTCAACTTTCACGTGCGATAACTTTTCTGAGAATGATCCGAATGCAATGACGCTTTTATCAGAGCTAGACAGTACCGAGTTTTATCACGTCCGAAAATTTCGTTGAGTTTGAATCATCCCATAGGGAGTTATTAAAAAAATAACGGTCGTTACGGAATTATCGAAAATGGACTTTTTTTTTCAGTGATGTCTAAGTTTTACATTTTTCTGCTCAATGAAAGCTTTTTTTGAGATGTGTTTTGAAGCAAAGTTGTGTAGCTTGAAACCAGCTTTCAGAATATCCACTTGCTTTTCGATTTGAATCGCTAGATGATATAAAAATTTGAAAAAATAGTCCGTTACGGAATTACCTTCGTTACGGAATTACAGCTTTTTTTTGTTCTTTCAAATCAGAAGGTTAAACTCCATTACAAAAGTCGTCATAGAAAAATATTTCCGATAGCAGTAGACAGTATTTGATCTGATCTTTCCGATGCACTGTAGAAAAACGTTTTGAAATCGTTTTGACTTGAAGAAAAACCCGTTTCAAAACTTGGTCTTTCGAAAAACCAACTTTCTTGGAAAGCACCTAAACTTAAAAATAAATACACTATCTTGTAGAGAAAATTCTCTACAAAATGCCATATCTCTTAATTTTTTCGCGAAAATATCTAGGTTAGGAAATTAAAAATAAAATCCGCACACTTCAACAGCATTCTGCACACCTTCTAGGGATCTCTGGAAATCGGATCCCACAGTTAAGGTGAACATACAGGGTCGTGCCAGATATCTCGACTTGCTTGGCTCGTCTCGAAGTCAGTCGCAAAGTCTTCCGCAATCCTCTTGAGCTCTGCATATGCGGAAAGGTTTTTCGGCACTCTCTACAGATCTCTAGAACCCAATCGTAAGCTCATGCGTCTTTCCACCCAAAGAATAAATCAGGCTCCGACAGAAAAACCGAAAGGGCAGAGGAAAGCTTATCTAGTATACAATGAGATATCTTTAACACATCATGTGAATCACATGGGAGAGAAATAGAAAAAATATCAAGTATTGATGAGTCCTTGGTTTATCATTCAAAATGAAAATAGGAAAGGTAAAAATTCTTCTTGCAGCCTCTCTGTACAGGCCTACTTTAAAATGTTTTTAGCCAAGTATTTTTCAATTGTAATAAATATATTAGGTTCTTTGAATACTGTTGGAGTTTCTTTAACTAAAGCCATGGACGTATTAAAAGACCCAGGTCTTCTATTCTGTCTTTTTACTTACAAATTCTTAAAGGGGTCTTCTATTATGTCCTTTAAAAAGTCATGTTTTTGTAGACGTATAATGATAAATTTCGTGAATATCACTATTATAAAAAAAAACTGACTTTAATAGATGAAATATTAAAAGGGATCTTCTAATATGTCTTTTACATAATTTATTTCAGAGAGGTCTTCTATTATGGACGAGTCTTCTAATGTGGGGGGTCTTTTAATATGTCCATGGCTTTACTAAAGTATGCTTCTAGATGATTGGTAGAGAGTTTCCTGGGAACTCTCCGCACCAGATATTCCAACTGCCGGTTTTTCCACGCGAAGAACAGCTGAGAATAAGATAGTTTTTCTGAAGAACCCCATGTCTCCGAAACCTATCTCTATCAGTTCTCCATAGTCGATTGCCTGTTCTATATTTTTTTCATTCAATCAAGTCAAAAACGAAACTTGAGTCAAAAGGATGCCTCCTAGAGGTCGTTTATAGCCGCCATTTTCTGATTCGTCATGGTCTGCTCCCTCTACACTGAAAGTTTCATAGCTTTACGTCTTTTGTTGCATCTAAACATCGGCAGAAAACCAATTAATTTCTGAAAGCCCTCTGAAGTTGTCCTAGATCTTCCACCGATAGCACCATTAGACTCTCCGTGCTGCATTATCTACAGTTCACAAGTTTCAGCCATCTATACCGTTTCTCTCAAGAGTTACTAAGTTTTGGATTTCCTCGTATAGCCGTACAAACATCTTTTTTTTATCTGACCCTTACAAACATCAAGGGAACAACTAATTTGTTAATCTATTCTAGTCAGTTCACGTCAAGAAAAAATCATTGTATGTTTTGAGCAAGAAACTCTTGAACATACATCATTCATTAAACTTTTGTTCATGACTTTTTTAATATTGAAAAACTTTTATCGGGTTTTTTCTTAAAAAGAAGGAAAATCGTGATTAACAATGTTTGGCAGATCGTTATCGATCATATTCAAAAGAAACACCTGGGTAAGACAAAAAATATATATGTTTATTCATAAATGAGCATCAACTAAATTCTATAAGTCTTGTTTAGAAGATTCTTGTGAAACAGTTTATTTCTTGTTTTGTTAGTTAGTTAAATTATGGTCTTATATAAAATATTCATTTTATTATTTTCCTTAAGCATTGTTAGTGGAGCTAGTTTTTATTTATATAATACGGATCGCACCACATATTCATCTAAACATTATTATGATTGTCATTATTTATATGAAGAAAATAGGTATCAAACATTTATTCCATACTGTCGACGTCCATTTATTTATAACGGCAACAACAATAGTGCGAATGAACGATGTTATGGGACGTTAAAGTTATTTTGAGGTTTAACGAATGAAGCAATATTATTTGATGAATATGCACCAATTGACGTTATTGATCTTTATTATCGTTCACGTGAAAGTAATTTTACCATTGGGCAAAATCTTTATTATTGTCAATGTAGCGATAACTGGTTTGGTTCATCTTGTCAATATACATTTGATACAGAAGACTTTTTTGATACAATTTTACAAGAACGTTTTCTATTAAAATCAACTGATTTTAATAATGAAAATGGTACATGTTATATTGGAATTAACTGTATGAATAGATGTCTAGACTGGCGTGAAATTTGTGATGGAAAAATTGATTGTTCGAATGGTATAGATGAAGAATACTGTTATCAACTTGAATTAAATAGTTGTGATGACAATGATAATGACGTCTATAGATGCAGAAATAGTTTTCATTGAATACCAAAAACATTTTTATTTGATAATCAACTAGATTGTATGGACTATTCGGATGAGAACATAAACAAGGATCAATCAGCTCATTGTCAAATATCACATTATAATGAATGTGAAGAGCATCATTGTGGTTGGA